CTTTGCATTTCTGAGTCAATTTCTTCATGAATTTATTGCTCGCTAAGGAGTGCTGCAGGCAGTATTACATATAAAAGTCCTGAAATTGACAGCTGTGGATTCACAAAGTGGGTATCTGGTTCAAAACTGTCTTTCAGCTCCACCTGAACTCAATAGGATTTTGAGAAAATCCTGCTAAACTGAGTGGGCAAAAAGGTGGCAGATGGACTTCAATGTAAATAAATATATTGCCTAGGGAAATTAGGAATGCATGATTTAATCCGTACTTAAATGATGCCAAAACCCTAAACTGTCACTTAAAACTCAAGGACTGCTCTGAAGTCATTAGCTAGAGTCCCAAGGCCAACAGAACACTGCCCATCATCACAGAAGGATGACAAAGGGACAAAGGACAAAACAGGAAGCTTCTTTTTGCAGCTGATTTTGTTCTGTACAAAAGCCTGACATGCACTGTCTCAAGAATGTTCTTCTGGCCTCTGTCTCTCAAGAAGGACTTGAGAGGTAAGAGATGGGCACCAAAAATGTGAAAAAGAGGAGCTGCCTCATAAGGAGAAGCTGGACAGACTGAGACTCTTGCATCTGTACAGAGTAGTCTGAGGAGGTTGTAATCAAGATTACAGAATCACCAGATCCCATTGTACCTGAACTAGGAGGCACTCTCTGAAGCTGCTGGGGACAGATGCAGCAATTTCACCTGCAGATAGTGGCTGTGGCTGTGGGATCTTCCTGGACTGCACCTTCTGCTGCCGTCACAGGAAACAAAGTCTTGGGCTAGAGGGACCAGTGGTTTGAAGAAGCATGGTAATATGTTGTTAACGTAATTCTAGTGAGATAATATTTTATGAGGGTGTCGTGGTTTGACTAGGAAGTGAGGTTTATAAAGTGTTGTTTTTTCCCTCCATTCCCAAGTTAGAGCCTGCTTTGTTCTGTTCCCGGGTCACATCTCACAGTAACCATTTTGGGAAATACACCTTTCATGGGGGCACTGGCACTGTGCCAGAGTCAATCCATGACAGAGGGCGAATGTCTTTGCTTGCCTCCAAATAGAAAATCCTCCATTTAGGAATGTACCGTACTATTTTCATTTTTGTTTTGATTGTACTTTTAAATGCATTAAACTTTTCTGCTGCCTTTCTAGATTGGATTTTTTCACTAGCTTTAGTTTCCTTTGTTAATTTTCTAACTATTCTGATTATGATACCTGTCTAAGAGGAGTGGGGCAAATCAATATTCAGAGGTGTTTATTTTTCCATTGCCTGCCGTGGGAGTTTAGTTAAATATCTTAGACTAGAACCCCTAACTTTAAGATGGCTAATGCTGGGTGAAATTTATTTGCCCCAGCTATATGAAATGCCTCCTGTGACTATGCACTGTTCATTCATATAAGAATATCTGTTTCACATTGTTGGTGACACAGATGGTGGGATCAAGTGCACCCTCAGCAAGTTTGCCAACACCACCAAGCCGTGTGGCACAGTCAACACGCTGGAGGGAAGGAATGCCACCCAGAGAGACCTGGGAGGGCTTGAGGAGGGCCTGTGCAGTTCAACAAGACCAAGTGCAAGGTCCTGCACCTGGGTTGGGTCAATCCCAGGCACAAATACAGACTGGGCAGAGAATGGGTTGAGAGGAGCCTGAAGGCGAAGAACTTGGGGGTGTTGGCTTAAGAGAAGCTCAACATGAGACAGCCACGTGCCCTTGCAGCCCAGAAATCCAACCACATCCTGGGCTGCGTCAACAGCAGCATGGGCAGCAGGTCGAGGGAAATGATTCTTCCGCTCTACTCTGCTCTCATGAGAGTCCTGGCTGGAGGTCTGCACCTGGCTCTGGGACCTCCAATGTAAAATGGACATGGACCTGCTGGAGCAAGTCCAGAGGATAGCCACAAAGATGACCAGAGGTGGATGGGACACCTTGAAGACAGGCTGAGAGAGTTTGGCTTCTTCTGATGCAGAAAAGAAGGCTCCAGAGAGACTTTTAAAGTGTCTTCCAGTAAAGGGGACAGACAAGAAAACTGGAAAGGGACTGTTTACAAGGGCATGCAATAATAGGACAAGGAAGAATGGCTTTAAATGAAAGGGCAAGTTTAGATTAGATATAAGGAAGAAATTGTTTACTGTGAGGATGGTAAGACACTGGAACAAGTTTCCCAGAGAAGCTATGGATTCTCCATCCCTCATAGAGTGTTCAAGGGCATGTTGGATGGGGCCCTGAGTAACCTCGTCTAGTGGAAGGGTCCCTGCCTGTGGAAGGGGGTTGGTACTAGATGATCTTTAAGGTTGCTTCCAACTTGACCCATTTCATGATTCTATGATAAGATGTAACTTCTTGTAGCCACTGTTCCCCCACCAATCACTGACCTTCATTAGTGTGGATAATTCAGATTTTTTGGTGTAAAGCAGTTCTGTAGCTGTTGACATATTTGGAATTTTCAGATTTCCACTTGCCAATAGTTTTTTTTAAAAATGAAGTGTCCTGAATGTAGATTACCATTACAGTATCATTATATCCTTTAAAAATATCATTCTCATTCAAGTCAGGCAATCTATTTGCATTAGGAATACTGACTGCTGCAAGACTATTGAGGTGCACTGGGGGAAAGACTTTTTAATCTTCATCTATACCTTATGTTCTTTTCCTAAGTGTCCTCTGCAGTTTGCTGTAAAAGATGGCAGTAGATTCAAGAGACCTTTGGTGTGGTTTGGTACACTTCCACTTTCCTTGTTAGGTAGGTGTCTGTGTCATGTCTCTATGTCAAATCATGAATTTGATTTGATTTGTCTTAAAATCCTTAAGTTTGGGAAGAAAACTACTGCTCTCTTCTTTTTAACATGATTCGATTAAATTTGTCTGTGACATGGTGAATTTGCATTTCTGCTAGATTTGTCTTTTTGATTATTTTCTTTTTCGAGGTAGTTTTATATCTTCTTGTCTGTTCCAAATAATCCTGAAGAGGCTGCCCATACTGTGTGACCCCCATTTATAGTATGGCACAGAGTGAAACCCCTCATTTTTTTCACTTGTTTTGCAGCCCACCATTCATTTCTGGAATTTTATTTCTTCACTTGTTTGTGGGCCTGAAAAAGCCACCAAGAAGATCGTTTAGAATTTCCTTCTCTTCAGTTCTTTCCCAAATCCTTTAAATCTTCTATAATTGGTTCCAATGTATGCCACCTTCATCTGAGAGATGACAGATGACTTTCTTCAGTTTATTCACTCTTTGTGTTTGATTTCCTATTTTTGGTCTATGGAGACTTAATTTCTTTTATTGTCCCCATTTCTTTCCAGCTATCACTTCCTGATTTCATTAAGACTCCTCAGACTGCATTTTTGACAACCATAGGGCCACTAGAAAGGGCTTTACAAAAGGTATTAAAACTTCTGAAACCCTCCAGGCAGATGGGTCTCTCTTAAAACTTTGTGATTTATTCTGCAGAAGAAGCAGAATAAGCAAGCCCCTGGAGTGGAAGCAGGGGTTAGTCACTGTGAGAGAAACCCAAATGTGAACAATTCTTTTAATGAGGAAAGGAGGTTTAATGTATGTCTTCATTGCTTGAGATAACACACTTTCCTTTTACTTCTGCAGAGCACATGGGTTTTACTAGCTGTGACTGAGAAGCAGTTCATTTTCTAGGCAATTTGTATAGGAAAGAAAGGGAAATAATTTTATCTATTTTATTTTATTTACAGATTAGATCAGTGAGTTTATTTAATTTCAGGTATAGCAGCCTGAAAAGGGAAAGAATTCAAACATTAATAGTCTTTAATGTGGTAATCCCAATTCAATAATATGCAAAGCAAGAGACATAATTTTCAGAACAACTTGATAAACAGATTACAAGGTGGTACTTCCAGTAGAAATAGATAAGAGAAATATATTTTTGTTTTATGGTGAAATCCTGTGTCCAGTAGTGTCTGAATTTGATACTTATTAGAAACAAAGGAAAATGATGGATTGCAGGACTTGCCAATAATTAATCAGACCAACAAACTACACATGTTTAGCTTCTCTCAGTTCAGAGGAAATGGAGTAATAGATATAACATCTCTTAGCCCAGTAATGATCAGTTTATATTCTGAAACTTGTTATTGATTTCACCTTTGACTTAATGGTAATGACAAAATGGGTAATAAAATTATCCAGCTTCCAAAAATACGTATGTGTGTCCAGATGCAGTAGCAACAGGGGGCAGCAGATCTTCAGTTGTCATAGATCCACAACTGAGGCTGAGCTATGACAGTTTGCACAAGTCCAGTTGCTGGATCTCTCTGGTGGATTTTCCTCCTAGCTTGTCTCATTGATTCCTTGCACCTGTGTAGTAGACCAGAGCATAGCAGATGTTGCTTTCAGCAAAGAAGCAATCTTTTCAATAGTCATTGAATACGACTTCATAAATATTTCCTAAAGCAGTTTTGGGCTTAGATTTCTGCAGGATGGGAGCCTCAGTAGGCATTCATCCCTGCAGTCCCCCCATACCCACTCTCCTCTAATAGTGTGGTTCAGAGGGAAACCTATCTCATATGACAGTATTTATATTGTATGAATAAGTCATTAAGCCCAAAGTCAGCCCCCAGTTACAGTGGAATCACTGTCTGAGATGAAATGTCAGCTGTGCTTGGATCCTTTAGTTCTTCTCAACTCCATGATAGTTTTAATCTGCTGATCCATGTTTGGATACAACAATCCTCTGTATTTTCAACATAATTCTGTCATGATCCGCTGAAAGAAGTCTGGAAAAGATTTTCCAGTGGTTTTCACACAAAAGCTGTTGACAATTACACCTTGATGCCTTGTTAATGTCAATTGTTTAGCAAAGATAAAATTACTTTGTAGGTTGCTGTATGTAAGTTCTTCACAAGGATTGAGCTAGACCTGTGGATTTCAATGACTCTTTGGGATATAACATTGGTTCATTTTAAAAACTGATATTGCGAACAGTAGGATCTGAATGAATCAGACTACATTGCTACCTTGTGCCTTTCATCCTTGTTATGTATAGGAGAAATGGGGGACAAAGGACAGAAGGGCAGCATAGGACGTCATGGAAAAATTGGTCCTATTGGTTCAAAAGGTATGTTTAATTCAATTATTTCTCCATTTGTGTTTCAGGTGAAAATTGTGTGATCATTTATGTGAAAAGTTTAGAGGCTTGGAAAATGGCTATTAAGTCTCACAGTTTACCCTAGTAGGAATTTTCTCACTCTGTAGTCAGCCAGGTCACTGAGATTTCTCAACCAGTTACCTTTGCTGTGACAGCAGTATATTTGGTGTTGAAGCACTGTGAGTATCCTGGTTTGAGGATAAATAAAGAACTTTGCACTGTCACACAAGTGTGGACAGTTGAAAAAGATGGGAAGATGTGCTGTACTTTGGCAGACTTAAGCACCAGAAGATGTGTTTTATTATGTTGGCTGCTTCATAGGCTTCCTATGTGACTTTGGTTAAGTCATTTGGACCAGTGTTTACCTAATCATCTAGATCATGATTCTAAGTTTAGGTATATCCAGCCCTTTTCTCTCTACAGCATCTGAGTTTACTAGTTCTGTGAAGTTTATGAATGTCAAGAAGTGAATATTGATGCATATTATTTGGATTCAAGTTTCATAGCTTTGGATGGGCTTTATTGTGGAATGACTAGGACAGAAAAATCTTTATTTTTGCTTGGGCATATTTCTACTCTCCACGTTTGAATTTTACTAGGGAAAAAATAGATAAGTGCTAAATGAACTATTAACAGAAAAGGCAGCATTAACATTATGTTATTTTTCATGTCTTCAGGTGAAAAAGGAGATAATGGTGACATAGGACCACCAGGTCCTAATGGTGACCCAGGTAATCCATAACACACCTTGTTTATGTGAAAGACTTTTCATCACTAAAAATACATCTGCTTACATACTGGGAGAAATAATGAATTATTTTTTTCATTCCTACTATAATATTTCACTGTGATATTTTCAAATGACTTAAAATCATTGACGTTGCAGCAGTTGCTGGACTTGCAGTGTATATGCTAAATCAGTATCTCATACTTTCTCCAAGTAATCTCTCCAGAAGCCTAGTGGAAATTGAAGTCAGACTGTCTGTATGATTCATCACCAGGGCAAAGGAACATGTCTGCATATCTCTCTTTGTCTTCCAGTCAACACAAAGGAGCAGGTTGGATGCTCCTGCCCATCCATGGATTATAGTTATAGGAGCAACAGATTGTCAAGAACACAGATCACAGAATAGGTCAGGTTGGAAAGGACCACATTGGGTCAGCTGGTCCAACCTCTGCTCGATCAGGGTACTCCCAGAGCACATGGTTCAGGATTGTCCAGACAATTCTTGAATATCTCCAGTGGGGGAGACTCCACAACCTCTCTGGGCAATCTGTTCCTGTGATCTGTTACCCATACAGTAAAGAAGTTCTTCCTCATGTTCAGGAGGAACTTCCTGTGCATCAATTTCTGTCCATTGCCTCCTGTCTATTGCTTGGCACCACCAAGCAGAGCCTGGCTTTGTCTTCTCGTCATGCTCTCTTCAGATTCTTACATGGATCTTCCAGAGGTATGAGGTGTTCTAGAGAAACAGCCTAGCATATGAAGTGCAAGCCCTGCAAGAGTGGCAGGTTGGGATTGGACTGAATTCATCCTTTCCTGGCAGAGTGCATTGGAGATGCACAGATTAGATTTCCCATGAGAACAGGAATTGTCACTCTAACTCTAGGGTCAGCATGCTGTGCACCTGGCCATCATGCACAGTTTTGCAGGGCAGGTACCCTGTGCTCAGACTAACTTACACAACTGAGCAGAGTAGCTGGGTAGTCCAGTGCAGATTTTAATAATTACATACAGAACTGCAAACTGTAATAAATGCAAATGGTAATTGATCTTAATTTTGAGATTTGTGGTCAGAGATATAACAATTACTCTTTTAGTATTCACATTCAGATTGTCTTTGTCAAACCTATACCAGTTTGGGTTAATAGATGATTTTCTAGTGTCTAATTTTATTATCAGAAGTATTGTAAATTCTGTACTTTCAAAAACAGAGAACTGCTTTTTGCAGGTAATTGTGTGCAATATGTGGTTGGAATTTTGGATCTGCTGGGATATGTTCCCTGTGAACAACTTGTAAACAATGTTTTTGCCATGAAAGAAATCTTTGAGAAATGGGGATTTTTGGAAAATGTTTTTAGTTGAAAAATATTGTGGGTGTTTTGCAGAGAATATCTGTCTGTGTTTAGGTTAATGCTAATTATTCAGGATGGAAGATTTGTAGGAAGTGAACTGATCTGTTCTACACGGGCCCAGACTCCCCTGAGAATCATATAATGGTGCAGGATAGTGAAGGCTCTAATTTTCTGTCTGTTACTTGCAAGACAGCTTTCTCCAGGGCTGCCACACCGAGCCTTTTCATAAAACTGTTGAGACAATTGTTGAAATTAAGTAGCTTTTTGATTTGGGTGTATCTACGTCATTTCACAGGCATCCCTTGTGAGTGCAGTCAGCTAAGGAAGGCTATTGGTGAAATGGATATTCAAGTAGCCCAGCTGACGACAGAACTAAAATTCATAAAAAATGGTAGGTTAATTTTATATAACTGTTTTCCTTTCTTTTTGCCTCATTTTATCGGTGTAATCGCTCGTAAAGAGTGCCACCGTTCCACATCTGATTTGTGAAGCTATTTTGGGGTGTGCAGTAACTTGGTTTATAGAAATGCGAGTGCTCACTTTTCAGCACTGCCCTCCCCCGCAGCTGTCGCCGGTGTGCGTGAGACAGACAATAAGATATATCTGCTGGTGAAGGAGGAGAAGAGGTACAAGGAAGCCCAGCTGTACTGCCACGGACGAGGAGGGACGCTGAGCATGCCCAAGGATGAGACTGCCAACAACCTGATTGCCTCGTACATCAACCAAGCTGGGCTCACCAGAGTCTTCATTGGGATTAACGACCTGGAGAAAGAGGGGAATTTCGTCTATTCTGACCGGTCGCCCATGCAGACCTTCAACAAATGGCGCAGCGGGGAGCCCAACAACGCTTACGACGAGGAGGACTGTGTGGAGATGGTGGCCTCTGGGGGCTGGAATGACGTTGCCTGTCACATTACCATGTATTTCGTGTGCGAATTTGACAAAGAAAATGTCTAAGCTGCTCTGCTCTTTCTCTATTTTAAGAAAAATGTTTAAGACAGTGATACAACATGGTTACTCCGTGTTTATAGGGTACAAGTGAAATTTTACAAGTATGCGGTGTCGGAGTTGTACAGCTGTAAATACAGTCAAATATCAGAATTTACCCTTCAGAAGGGAAGAGCAGTAATAAGGTATAGCTTGGTTGGCTTTTTCTTTATTTAGGAAAATATATCTGTTTAGATAAAAATGTGCTTTGGGGCTAAATTTTGCCCTTACAACAGATAACAAATGTTAATATGACTGTAAGGGAAGGCAGAATTTGGCCTCTAGTTGTTAGAATGGTTAGAGTTAGATTCCTGATATTCTTTTATCTTAGCAAAATTTGTAGTTATAAATGCTAATAACTTGCAGTGCTACAGGGATATTTTGGTAACAAGGCATATTTTGTATACTCCAGTTAATAAGTACAAATATTACTGTAGGTTTTTTGAAGGTTAAAACTTTTTTTTTTAAACTGGCCAAAGCAAATCAAAAGTCAAGATTCCTACCAGTTTTGTAATGTTTCTTCATTAAACTGTTCACAGATGTATGACCAAAAAGCATTTAAGTAAACTGAATTTTAGTTCTGAGGGAGGAAAAAGTCTAGTGAAAGGTGTCCCTGCCCATGGCAGGGGGTTTGAACTAAGTAACTTTTAAGGTCTCTTCCAACCCAAAATATTCTATGATTCCATGATTCTATGGTATGAAAATTCTTATAATTTAGTACTAAGAGGGTTTCCATCCAGGTGGTGTTTTGGGATTGGCTGAACGTAAAAGTAACAGTTTGATTTTCTGCATTCCTTAGTTGAAAAGGACTCAGTGCATGAAGTATTTTAGACCCTGAATAATTCCCTAAAGTAAATGCTTCATATTTCTTTAAGATAATCTTGGTGCATCTTGTTACAAAACAAACAAAAATACCAGCCCTCCACAATTTAAGTCAGACTTCATATATATGCAATTAAGCTCATGAAAACACATTAGCGATCAGTTCCTTTTAGTAAGAAAACAGCTTGCATGTTTACACAGATTGTTAAAACAATCCCCTGAAAAGCAGAAGAGTTTCCGAAATTTTCCTGTGTATATAGCAGTAATAAATAACTTTGCACAAATAATTTATGTACCAAATTTACATTGAAAAAAGGATGTATATTAAAAAAAAAAAAAACAGCATAATTTCACAAAAGAAATGATGAATTACTTTAAATCTTCCCAGGAGCCAGTTGCATGCCACCTCATCTTACTGTTAGGCACAGAAAAATTGAAAAAATTTGCAAAATATCTGTGTTTCTTTAGGAATACCTTGCACAGTGTTTTGAGATGATTTTTAAGAATAAATGATCCTTGCATGACATTCTGGTCAAAATGCATATCTGATCATTATGGCAGATTGGCATATAAGATATCCACAGTGGATACGGCATGTGGTCCCAGAGATTTCCTTACAGCAGGGAAACCAACTCATATCAACTCTGCTGTGCTGCAGCATGTAAACAATGACATTATTTGATTTATATACCTAAGAGAACAAACTGTTTTGTTTGATATATTTACTCTGTAAATCTCTCTCCTTTATATATATATGTTTGTTATTAATTTTGAAGATCACTAGCAGTACTACAGTATCCTATAGTATTTGATTATCAGCCCAGCTCCAGAGAAATAACTCAAAATGAATGGGTTCTTTGATTGCTTTATTTTCCTTTAATAAAGATAGGTATGATACCTGTGTGTTAGTTATTCTTCCAACTGCATATTGAAATCTATTAAATAATGTGAATCTCTTTCTACACTAATATTCAAAGACTCTGTAGAATTTGCAGGGAGCTAGCAATTCCAGTAAAGCAATTTGTTTAGAGTAGTGCTTTGAATATCATGATTGTTTCCTGCCTGCTATAGAAATCCTCAGAAACCGTTTAAATCTCCAATATACTTTTGTCAAATCATTGTTGCTATATTAAAACAGTCCAAACCTGAGATATAGATATTTGAAGCTCCCTCATTATGTGTGCTGAAGTTGCTGTTTTTCACCTAGGTTTTTAAAGTTTCTGTTGTATTGTTCAATTTCCTCAGAAAGATGAAAAGAGGCCTTTTAGGGAGATATGAAGCTTTTTGAGATGCCATAAAATGCTCCTATTTTAGCTGAAGTCACACCAGGTTTTAAAGATTTCCTCGACATGTGTAGCATTTAAACAGTCTCAGTTTCTACTAAAATTTAGCATAAAAAGTAAAAGCAATGGAAAAACATTTTTCATAGTTTTCATGTTCTTCAGGAGATTTTCTTGCACTACTTGATATGTGAGGTAGAAACTAAATTAGTTTCTTTGTGGGATACCTGTACACTGGCTGCAGCTGCCCTTATTTCAACATTTGAGCAAAGGGAGCAAGGCTGGTCTGTAAGGTCTGTAGCTGTCCTGCAAGGGACAGCTGATATGTACCCCTCTGAGGAACTGGGTGGGAAATGATGGAGGCATTGGAAATGAATGAGCCCTTCATAATTTCTTTCACCCTCTAGTTGCTGGTGCCTGTAGGTAGACCCTTGCTGGAGGCAAAAATCAATGTTGCATGTAGTGCTCAGCCGGCTTGAAACCTGCTGACATGCTTGGTAAGGTTTCCATTATTCTCCTTGGAATTTGGAACTATTGTTTTTTTTTTAAAAAAATGAAATGAGTGATAAGTTAATTTTACTTGAGGTGTTTTCCATGTCCATTAAAACATAAATTGTAATATGATTACTCATTTTGTGTAGCTCTGCAAAAGCCTTTGGAACATGTATGTCTGGCAAGCAGAGGCGTTTCTCAGACTATTCTTATATGCTCTATTTTTGATTGATTAATTCTCCTCATAAATACATCCCCGTAGCCCTTATTTATTTTATTCTTGAATAAAGGGCATTCTATGGCATTTTAAAAAGGCGAAAATAGCAGGGTTGGTTTTTTTTTTTTTTTTATGTAGCAGCCCATTCAGGTTTGTGAATGACTTCTTCACATAAAATGTGGATTTCACTCAACTGTACTCTGCACCTTTAGCTGCTAGGGCTGCGTGTTGCAGTACTGATGTCAGGGCAGACTGCACCGCCCTTCTAGGAGCGGGCTTGGTGAAGATGAAGCATTTAACTGGCTGAGTCCAAGGGGACATCTTGGGAGAGCACTGGATCATGTCTCATCCTGATCACCATCCAGATTTGTCACTCCACAACTTCAATGCTTGGTGGAAAGTGTTGCTCCCACTTGCCTTGTTATTCTGCTCAGCTCCTGGCTCACCATCCCTCGTGAACCAGCTGCTCCTCACTGTGCTCTGACAGCTGACATGATTATCCCTGGAAATATGGGTTTGTTACAGGTTTGTTAGCAGCAGAACTTTTCCCTGACTGTGAGTTTTAAACATTCTTATATCACAGAAAAGAACTGTAAAAATATTAATATTCATATGTGGCATTGTTATTCATGTAAGTAAAATGGAGTGCTTCATTTTTCATAAGCACAGGAAATGCCAGTTCAAATATGCTTTGCAAAATAGCAGTTCACTGGACTTATTTTCTTACAGTTCTTGATGAAAAGAGAATAATTTTAATTGTAAAATATGATGAAGGTTCACAACGGAGGAAGACTTTTGAAGTAGACATTTTTCAAAATGTTTACTTTTAGAATTTTTCAGAATTTAATTTCCAAGTTCTAAAGCTTTTTTTTGATCCATAAAGAGATTTGATTTTTATAATATCGTTAATATATTTTACACTATCAGTAACAGTGATCTATATAATGTTTGATGTATTTTACTTTATTCTTTAAGTCTTGATTTCCAATGGGAACAAGTTATTTTTTTGAGACTTATGTTTGACATGCTGAAAGACTGTGACATTGGAGTTGTTTTTTCCTCCTGGCCTGCTATGACACTATAAATGCCTTGAGTATAAAATAATAGATAGTTCAACCTACATTACATAGAAGACATTCTTACTGACTATGAAAATTATTCATTTAAGTATTATGCCATATAATTAGTAGTTTATGCACTATTCCATATGTCCAAACCAATCATTAGATAAGATAAATACAAGCCTTTTGAAACCTGAAAATCTTACAAATATACTTTCATCCTGAATTAAAACAAAAATTTGTCAAAGTAACCAAAGTAATGCAGAAATTCAGAGTTTCCCCTAGATCTGTATCCAGATCTAGTTTCTGTGGGAAACTCAGTGACTTGTGATGGTCATGACTGAATCAAATCCTTGAGCAGAGTATTAGCCAACAATGCAATGATGTGTGACTTTACCCTTTGCACTTTCTGAGCTGCATCCCCTTAGCCTCTGTTGATCCAAGGGCCAATGTCTTTTCACTGGAAATTCTGGTTTTCAGTTTTTGGCTTGCCTGTGGTGCCAACAAGTTCATCACTCTACATGTCTGCCACAGATTATAGATGAAGAGATGGGATTTTTTCCACTGTGGGGACCTGGGAGTGCTTGTAAAAGAGTGATGGGGAAGGTATTGTGCAAAAGTGGAGCTGGCCACTCACCCCTCCCTTGGGATGCATATGCCTGGCCAGGGAGAGGCAGTCCAGCCCACCAAGAGGAAAAACTGGCATTGTTATTGTGGGTAAAAAGAAACCAGAGTTTTAAGATTTACTTAGGGAAAAAATTGTGCAGTGAAGGGTTTTGACTATTTACTTTACAGAGTAGCTGTAAGAAAGAGCAGTTTGGTTTTAATTTTACTTTGATAGGAGAGTACAGACTATGTGAGATGGGAGAGAAAGGGTTTGTGGAGAGGACGCAGTTGTGTGCTCAAGGTGTTTTTCTGGATGCGCGTCTCCTCCTAGCTCAGAGCTTTTCTATTGGATGAGGAGGGAATCCTCTCAAGAGGGAAAGCACAAAATGGAAAAGGTGGAAGAAGCAGTGAGTGGATGTGCATAACTGGCAGTGAGTGGGATGCCCATGAGGCAGAATGTAAATGTTACCTCCAGCCATTCTCCTGCTTCCTGCTAGGGAAATGTAATTATCTTGCCCTTTCCGTCAAAATGTCTCACTATAGCTCTGGATGGGTAACTCACAAAAATGGAGTGAGGCGGCCAAATTAGTGTAATATCTGTGCCTAAATAAAACCCACTTTGGGTCTATGGACAAATAATAGCATCCTCCACACTCTGGGTATATTAATGCATGAAATCACAGGGGATATAATTAAGCACTGCTATTCAAAGGCTAGCTATGTAGTATTGATGAGCTTCTGGATATTCTTTACATATAAAAGTGCAAATGCTGCCAGGAATTCAGCAACAGAAGGTCTGGTGTGCAGCTGAACAATACAGGTGTTACCATACTATCATCTAGTGGCAGTAAGAGTAAAAATGAAGGAGCTGAGTGGTATGTTGCTTCTGCTTGCATCAGTTGCCGTGTTGTAATCACTGATGCTGTATTGAACCACTGACTTTCCAGCTCTGAAGTCTTTAAGTCTTTAGTCAGCTTTCTTTCTTTTTCTTTTTTTCCTCCCTTTGTGAAAGATTATTTTGAATTATTACAAAGAGACGTGCAATGATTTTAAGTCCAGTTCTCAGGTGGGTGTTTTGACTAAGAAGTGAGAAGCGTGCTCAGATGAGCTCAATTATCATGCCTTGGAGTGAAGAAAAAGAAAACAAGTCAAGCTGTGCTCTGCAGGCCAGCATCTAAATTGCAGGTGCAGATCTTCACCTGGCATCAATCAACTCCAGTGAAGCCAAATTGATTTATACCTGCTGAGGATTTGAGACAGTATTGTCATAAATTCTAGATCTATGCTTATTTTGGAAAGAAAGAGAGAGAAGTATTCTTATATTTATAATTTATTCTGAGCACTTTAAATGTTATTCAGAGTCTGAGCCACTGAAATGGGTGCATCTTCCATGAAGATTTCTGGGCAATAATCTGTTTTGAGACAAATATTGAATGTAAAATAATTGAAGTAGATCTATGATGCAGAACTTTATCCTTGCAAGTACACAAGGAATACAATGTAGAACACAGAAGAAGCAGTACAATCATTCAATACAAAGAATAAGTCCTCTATCATTTTATATTCTTCTGTGAAAATGAAACCTTTGCTTTTTCTTTGCTTTTTGCCATGTTCAACGTTTATCAATAGGAGAAGACAGGCTGCCATCTAGTGAAGAAAAGATTTGTTGCATATCTAAAGAACCACAAACCCAGCTTTGTTCCTGCTTTATTTTTAGTATGAAATGAATAATATGGTTATTCTGCAAGAGGGAAAGTGCACAATATGTTAAGTCCACTGTGTTTGTAAAACACAGAAATAAAAGGAGGTATACAAATGCAAAATACTAATTTCCTTGTTACAAAATGCCATGTGCATATACATGTTAACTTGTTTTACTTAATCCAGCTCCCTGCTTCTTCTCCAGCATTACTACCCTTCTCTTCTACATAAATAAATTGAATATGTGACATATTAAGTAAAGTTCACCAAATATCCCCAGGTGAGTTAGCAAAAAACTTAGAGCTGGCCTTGATTCATGGAATTCCTTTTCTGTCCTGATTTTTGTCTACAGCTCTGAAAATGGAAGATAAAATGCTGTATCCCTTAAACTTGCACAGCAAAAGTGTAAATGGATTACAGCTGATGTGTTGACCTCATGCTTAACACCCAGTGGTTATACCTCTCTTAAAAAAATATTCTTTGAGTCTACTGTCCTGGTTTACACAGTGCCCCCAGTTTCCTTCTTAAAGCTTATCTTCCTTTTGCATCTGGTCAGACCCAAAGTGAAGTTAATTACGTGTGTTGATTATATGTTCCATACTGTAGATTCTTGGGAATTGGTTTGTCTGTGCAGTTGTTTCGAACCATAAGCAGCTTAAAAAGGATTCTTTGAAAATATGTTTTAAATTGTTAACAAATGCAAATTCCTTTCAGTCTAGACATTTTTTTTGCTTCATACTAAATAGCATATCCACAAATCAAACCCATAAGACAAATCTGCTTTATGATTTTAAGTTAAACCAAAGTGGGCTGGTTTCTAACAGATGAGAAGTCACTGGCCATTGACCTTTAGGCTCAGCTAAGC